GACATTATATTATCGTTCTACACTGTCATTGCTCCGAGAAACGTTGCCTAATTTCAAACTGAGAGTTGGGGTTAGTTATTTGTAGCATATTTGAAGTCTAAAACCATTAAAAAATTATCAGTAGACTTTTCAAGGATAAACTAAACGATAAATGAAATAAAATAAAATAAACATCCTACTTAATAGACAAATACAATGGTGATATACAATACAGGGCCATATAGCCCTATTTTTACAAATTTTTTAATGTTTTGTACATGTTCTTTAAGTGATATTGTGTGACATTTCCAAAATCGTTCCAAAAACATTAAGTAAACATTCATGGAAAATGTCCCTCCTAACGTTTACATACGTTCTTTCAACGTTCTTAAAAACATTATTTTGTTATCTCGGACCCCGGCCCAGCCTAATTGAATACCATTTGGTTCTTAAGACCAGTTTCGGTTGGTCTTGGTTTGGCTTCAGCTGTAGCTTGGTGGAGGTTTGGTTACACTCATTGCATGACCAATTTCAATTGTGAACTAAAAAATTTAGCTCGCACATAACAAGGAGATATGTCACAAAAATGAGTCATAGGTTACAGAAACATTTTATTCATATAAGGTAATGATGCCAGTCTGGTTTGTATGTCCTAAAGCTGACTTTTCTAATGCCACTATAAAGTAAATAAAAAGTCTGTCATATTAACTGAATAACATCAAAGAAAACAATGGTAACTCTTATCAATATGAACGCTGCAGCTGCCCTTATCCTCCAGAAAACGTGTACTTTATCATTTTACATTATATTACCACATTTTACTCCGTGTACAAACTCTGAACAATGTGAAATACATAAAAAGGTACCATCATGATAGTGTTATCATGCATTTAAGAAAATAGAACTACAGAACAAATTGAAAATAATTTTGAGCATTTGCAACCCTTTCTGTAATGATTTGCATGAAAAAATAATACCAAACATAACAGAATTGAACACAACAGGATAAACCCAAACATGTATCTAATACATGTATGTCTAGTAGCCTACACCATGCAATGTGCTGATTGCTTCCTGGTTAAGAATAAGAATAACCCTACTCTTTGATACTTACACAATTTTTTCTTTAAAGATAAGAATAGTCCTAATCAGCTTTGACTTTCTTAATAGTGATAAAGTGTGTAACATTTGACATCCGCCACATTCCGTCTTCTTCTTGGGAAAGGCCGTACTTGCTGCCCTCTCTCTGGACGAAGTCCATGCAAAATGACAGTATACGATGGTCAAATTTGGAAGTGTCATCTGCCCAACCATGGAAATAGGTGGACAGGACCAAGGCACCAACTTCTGCCAGCGACGGAATCACGAAATCACATCTCGCCTCCTCGTGCCATATCGAAGCTTTAAAGGTTGGAAATGATTCGTTCAGAATACCGGCAATTTCCCCTTGAAATAGCAAAGAACTTCTAGCCTCCGCTACCTTCGTTAGGTTTACGGCTTCATTAGGAAAACAAATCTTAAAACAATGCACAGCGGTGTTCCAAATGAAAGCAATGTCGCCACTATTAATCTGTATTAATATCATTCCCCCGGGTTTGAGGATGGTATACATGACAAAGACAGCTCGTTTGATGTCTTCCTGAGGGTCACAGAAATCATCCAACCAACGTGTAAGATGATACATGGAATGTAAAGCAAGCACCCTGTCCTGTTGTTCTTCAGGATACGCCCCAATGGACTTCAGCTCTTCCACGGACTTCCCAAAGTAATCCTGGAACCGTCCAGAGAAGGCCACATCCACAGTAGCATTCTCCAAGTTCTCGATGCATTTCTTGTATTTCTGCAAGGACTCTACATGAGGTTCTTCCACGCTGACGATGACATCTTTGTTGAGAGCTTGGAGTGTTTTACAAATGGCTGATATAGGGGTTCCTGTACCTCCCCCAAAATCCATAATTCGGATTGTTGAAGGCAGTTCTGATAGGTTCAGGATGTTCTCACAAATGGTATCAAAGTACGTTAATCCGCGTTTTCTACTTTCTTCCTCTCTGAAAGTTAAGTACGTGAAATACTTAATAAATGAAAAAGAAATACAAATGACTCATAATTGATTTATTATTGGGGAACACCTACCCATTGTTGATAATAGTTACACATTTGTTATAAGCTTCAGTGTTAACCAAGGAGCTGAACTCTTCTTCCAGTTTACGCCGCATCTCCTGTTCATCTCGTTTTCCTGTCTGAAATCTTACTGCCATTGGGATATGTTGCAGTGTGTTCTGCCCGATAACTCTACAAAAATGTACATAGATGCAGAATCAGGCACTTTCTCAAATTTCTTCAGTTAATGACGCATTAATAGAACCACCATATTCACTACCGTTAGTTCCTTCAAGCGCATGTATGTACCTGTGTATTAGTATCATGTCTTATAGTGCGTGATCTGTAATGTAATGAAGTAATGATGTAACAGATGAAGTGTTCTGAATGGTAAACGCCGAGATTGACACACTTTCGGTGATGCCAGTAGCATACCAAACAGTTGACTAAAGAGTATAAACAACTATGGGTGCGTTCACAATAAAATTATCGTACTAGAGAGTTTTAATGTGAACGCAGCTTTTAACAAACATAGGGGTAGAAAAAACACAGAAACATATTAATGCACTAATTATAAATTCTCCTTTTTTTTGTGTGGTAGTTGTAATGTTTTGAAGTTAACAAAGTCGTTTCTAAGTTGAGGATACAGAATCCGTGACAGACTTTGAGAAGTAGAAAAGCAACGTACCACTTGTTCTTAAACCACGCTACTTTATATTTTCTTCGATTCAAAGTGTGTATAAAGTAGAACGCTGCTGTCAAACGTTTCTGCTTCACCAAGAAGCATACTTGCAGCAGAGTCATACTTTTGTCCAGTAAGTTACTTAGACCCCATTCCCACAGATTTTAGATCGATCTATCCCTGTGGGGAGTCTCACTAGATTACAGTCAACTTAGCCGGCTAAAGCGTCTGTCCCGCCTACTAAAAGCTGTAAGGGGGTAATTAACTACCGTGCGCGCCCGGCTGACATCAATTTAGCGTGAACCCCCAGGGAGTTAGGTCAATTTAGATGGATCGATCTAAATCTATGGGAATGCACTCTTATATTCCGCATTGTACTGTAATTTACTACTACAGTGATGCATAATGAATGTAGATTATACCTCTTCCATACTTCAAATGCAATATCTTGTATTGCAAAATACAGAAGATTCTCTGATATATAGCTTTAGAAACTGAGCTCTACAGCTTGATCATAGTTTATGATTTTGCGAGTAGCTTCAAATATGGTATCAATTGGCTATTAATTGTTGACGTTAAATTGATTTTTGCTATTTAAAGGTCTAAACTATATTTGGGTAACTTAGAACAAATATTCATACTTTTATAAGCAAAGAAAAAAATGCTTTTCCAAGTGTTTCACTCCTGTTAGATTTGTGAATTGCAAAACCTGGTAACAAAATCATGTTCCATCTCATAAAAAGACATGTACAGTGCCTAACCATGATAAACAAATGATAAATTGATTTATTATTGGAGCACACCTACCCACTGTTGATAATGGTTACACATTTGTGATACCCTTCAGAGTTAGTAAAGGAGCTTAACTCTTCTTCCAATCTACGTCGCATCTCCTGTTCATCTCGATTTCTCGTCTGGTAGCTGCCTGCCACCGGAAATTCTGTATATTGGCTGATAATTCTATGATATGAGAAACGCAATTCGAAATTCGACTCCAAACTCCTTTTAGTAACGTCTACTCAATGCAACTTGTGAAATGTTAAGGCAACCTCAGACAGCCCGTGTTGTAGACGATATCCTGGAACAATTTTCATTTCATGCATTTCCTGTATTTCTTTGGTGGTGCTTAGAAAAACTTTATAGCGGCCTTTGTTCCTATATATATATATATATATATATATATATATATATATATATATATATATATATATATATATATATATATATATATATATTACATTAAACATTTTATTTGATTAATGAGCCAAGAACATCCACCCATCCATCAGATGATCAGTCACGGCATCTATTCAATTACAATGTACCATGCAGTCATTTGATATAGATAAAGATAGATACAAAAGAATTTCATTTTTTATCTCTTATAATAAGTATTAAATGTTCCAATATTATTAAAAAGACCATTTGATATTTCTAGTAAACAATGTAGAGGAATGGATAGTCTCTTGTTAGGCAGGTTTTACATGATACACGCTTTAGCAGTGTGAAGTTCGAGTTCATTTGTGAAGTTTAACCCCACTACCTTAGAAGACAAACCAAAGACATCAGACAAAATAAACATTGTTTATTCTTTGAAAATCACTTGTGTCATACAACAAAAAATATTGTTATACATATGGTTTACAGGCACTCTGAGTTTACTACTTATATTCTGATTATGGATCCATTTAAAAGAAAAAAACAAGGTTCCAGATTTATCACAGATTTCACACAATTTCTTGGATAATTATGACAATATAAAGCATAAAAAATGACATAATAAGCAATGGTGATGATTTCATAATGCACATAGCTGCTTTGGAAAGAAAGACATAGGCAGACATGAGCCTAAAAACAAAACTCTGAACATTTATCATGGGACCCAACACCTAGCATTAAGGGATTTCAGAAAACATCAGAATTCTTCTTTTCTGGGGAATAAGCTCATGTCTGCATTGGAGCCATTTTTACATAGTTTCAGGTATTCTTTTGGGTCAAAATCAAATTTGGGGGCAAAGGTTAGGAAACAATATAAGATAACAACAAAATAAGTGACAAATGAG